TCGAAATATTATGGTTGAACATATGAATACAACTATCACAGAGCGTGCCAGGAGATGAGATTGCATGCATATTTATTGAACTAGTTTTGGGTAGAAACAATGAACATTGCAGTTATAATAAATGGTGGTCTATTAGCACCTTTGAATGAAGGCTTACCTGAAAAAACTTAGAGTGAAAAAGAGGTAAATCTATCTAGCTTGAAAGTATTTGATTGTTCATCATATGTTCATATTGATGCATGATTCAGAAGTAAGTTTGATTTAAAATCTGTTAAGTGCGCTTTCTTTGAACAAGACTAAGATGAATATAGTTACAAAGTTTGGGACTATCATAATAAAAAATGAACTAGTAGTGATGTTACTTTCAATAAAATAAAGATTTATAAGGACAAAAATAAAATTCAGGATCATTAATTAATTACTTATGAAGACCCCTCTAAATATGATGAGATAGAAGACACTAGTGATTAGGAAGATGGAGAAAAAAATGCTCAATCTGATGAAGCATAGGAAGTTCCTTAGACACCTTCTTCTGAAGTTAGAAGGTATGGTATAATTTGACTACCAACACAACAGTATTCTCCTTCATTGTACTATTTATTGTTGATTGATATTGATAAACTAGAGTGTTATAATGCAATTATTTAACTAAACTCAAAGAGTGAGCGTTTGTCATGGATGATGAGATGTAGTCACTAATATCAAATTAAACATGGGAATTGGCAGAAGTATCATATGGTAAAAAGGCTTGCACAAGTGATTTATAGATTAAAGAAAATCAGATGACATCAACTCTATCAGTCGAGGCTTGTTATGAAGGGTCATCAAACTCCAAGAGTTGACTGCATTAAGATCTTTTCTCTTTGTAGTGAACATGACCACTAAGACAACCTTTTTACATGGGGACAAAAGAATTGTGCATGGTGCCACTATAAGGATATGAAGTTCTAAAAAATATATATATGCTATGTAAATAGAAGAGCCTTTACGGTTTGAAGTAGACATCAAGACAACGGTACATGAAATTTGATAGGTTTTTGTTAGATAGTGTGTACACAATATGTTAATCAGATTATAACATGTTCATTGCAGGAGCAGATACGAAGAAGATCAGAGATTTGAAAGAACAATTATTAAAGGAGTTTGAAATGAAGGATTTATGTCAAACCAAAAAAATTATTGGTATGAGAATCAACAGGGACAGGAGTTCATGTACTTTGAAATTAATTTAGGTAGAATATGTTGAGAAGATTCTACACGGATTCGGCATGAGTGAGGCAATAGCACCTGGAGGGGAGAGTTACTCATATTGTCACTCAGATAGGAGTTCATGCAATAGCCCGGTACATGTTCAAGATTCGAGAGTGCGACACTTCAACACCTTGAGGGGAGAGTTGCAATGCCCAGATGCAACGCTATGGCGCCCAACCAAGATTGAAAACCCGTGAGAGTGACAATGCAACATCCATGATGTAGTGCCCCAATACCTGTTGGAGCGCCATAATGCCATATCATGGATCCTTGGCATCAGTAACTGATTTTTTGGAAGTTCCTAATTATTGTGTCGTCTTTGTCGATGGGAATAAGGTTGGATTTCGATTTTTCTCTTGTGCAAAATAGATGAGTGTTCTAAAGTATTCCAAAGTGTGGAGAGGCTTGAGTAGTGTATTTTGTAAAATTCTTCTCATTTTCTTCATTATGGATTTCTTGGTGTGGTATGACTCAATGACTTTTTCCCGTTCTCGGGTTTTCATGTTAAATTTTGCGTTCTTTACGTTTTATGCAATTTTCTTATTTTGTGCTCTTCTATTCAAAATTTTGCTTCGGATCTGTCAAACAGGTTTCCGCACAATTACTTGTCATCTCTCACATGTAAAAAAAATTAATATGCTTTGCACTTAACTGCTTTTTGGCTTGACGAAATTGACGAGCGTCTCATTTTTAGTATGCAGGAGATTTGGATTTCCTTTTATTCAGCTTGTGTTTCAACAGAGTTGAAGAATGATATGATTTGATTTATCTTTATTGGCGTTTTGGGTGAGTTTCCTATGTTTTAACTTTTGATGGACATAATGAAGGATGCATGCTAATGACTTAGCCATTAGGGCTTGTATTAAGTTGATCAAGAAGAGTTATCAACCTTGTGTTTCATGCTCTAATGAACTCATTGTTGACATAATTTCTTTGGTTCAGCCTCAGGCGTTGCATAAACTTTGGGATAACATTGATTCTGTGCTTTTTGTTTTGTCAAACTTACCGGAAAAAAGATATTCTTTTGGACTTCATAGTGTTTTTGGCCAGATCAGTTGAAGAGTGTTTGTTCAAACCTGTTGAAGGGGCTGAACATTTTAATTTGTTGATGACTTAAAAAAAAAACTTGAACTTTTTTTTTCAAGCGAGTTCATTTGTTTAAATTTTTCTTTACCTTTTGATTAGTTGATACGATTTGCACTTGAATTTATTAAGTTAGCAGTCTTGGAATTTGATTGTTCTTAATATCGTATTGGTGAAATTATAGGATACTTGACTGCATCCTTTCTTATGACCTGTTGAGTATGTGCAGTTGTCAGCAACTTGGTCACATTTGGGTGTGTGAACCGAACCTTGTGGATCTAGACGAATATTAGAGCTTGAGCAATGGAGAATTGTGTCTTTAGATCTTGATTTGCTTGAACTTGTAATCAATAATTCCTGAGTTGGGATTGGGCGTCTCTGAATCTTCAAAAACATGAGAAGAGGGGGTAATACCCATGAATTCACAAGTACTTGTTCTAGGAGTCTTTTCTAGTGATGCCAACAAGTCTTTCAACTTTTTTTATTTCTTCTTTTGGAACTCAAATAGTGATTCTTTGTAAATTTGCATATATATGTTATATATGCATGTTTGTGTTCTCTGCTTGTCCTAATTTTGTCTAACTTTTATTTGGTGGGTTGCTATGCGCTTCTAGTATCTTTTTTTTTGTATGCAAAGCCTTCTTGCAATATGTACGTTATAGATAATTTCTATGGACCATCTTTATTGAGCGTAACTATTTGGGCTATAAAATTTTTATTATCATTCGTTCACTTACTAGCACCTTTTTTTGGTGTTATTGACCATCATAACTCCTCTCCACTTCTGTTTGAGTGATGGCAATGAAATTCTTTAGAGATTTTTTTGGCGGAATTTGGACCTATACAACATCAAATTTAACATTTAATCCCACCAGAAAATTATAAATTTAGTCTTTTTTTGACATAAATTTTAAGGAGTGCTACATCTTTACTTTATTTCATTTCGATGTTTTAATAATGGTTAATCTCTTACTTTAAAAGCCTTGTTGCTGATTGTAGTATATTTGATGGATCGCTTCTATTTGTTGTGGTCAGATTATTGATTTTGATCTGATGGATTTTGGATATATTATGAACTGTAGAAAATATTTGAATTACTTTGTTCTAAATTTTCTTTGCTTAATAAAGGTTTATGTATATATCATTTACTTCATGAACCATGGAGATTCATAACCAAAATACCGCAATGGAGTTATATTAATCTTTAGTGGGATCGCCTTGTTGAGGTATGATGTTAGGTAAACGACCTAATTTTTCTCTTTCTATCAAGAATGTACGACCAATTGTGACTACTTGAGGTATTCTCTTCATTCAAATGATATATTGATTGGGTGTTTTAGATTTGGACTTAGTTCTTGATTTGAAATGAACTAATTAATTGCCAAGGTAAATAAGGATAGAGATAAAGCTGTACTAATGAAGGCTACAAAGGAGAAGATTTGTTGGCTTGAAAAGAGACTTCTTGCAACGAAGAAGTGTGTGTTCTGGATAATGCAATTGTTAAAGCTGCGCCTTAGAGAAATGCTGACAAATGAATATCAATGCTTTGATATGGCTAGAATTAGATGGGCATTTCGTCTTAACTTTTGTGTGATACTTCATAGTAAGTAATAGAGAGCTTTGAATAATAATTTACAAGTTTAGGCTCAAATAATTATAATAATCTTTGGATTGATGAGTAAGCAGAAGAATAATTGTAGAATAATTATGATGGTTCAGATTTATGAGGTGTCAATCTTATGAATCACTGAAGTGATGTGAAGTGAACGTGGAGGTGGAAGATTGTTGGACCCGGGGAGCGATAATGGGGGTGAAATTGATGCAAATTGATTTATCCACAAAAATTATTTTGCAAATATTTTTCATATTATTCATAGCTAGTATAAATAATTGGTTAGTTTGGTTTGCTTGTTAGCAGAAGCGCGTTGAAAGTTCATCTCATTTAATCTGCCGCAACTTATTTAGATTTTCATATAAGCTCTACATTGGGTGCAGTATCTACTTTTGTTGGTTTTTTTATTTATTTTGTAAAATTTTGGCACATTAAGGGCCAATTTATTTTAATCTAAGTATTTGAAAGTAATTGGAACAAGATCCAGGACTGAACTTCAATGCTTGTTTGGTAGAAGGTAGTAGAAGGTGAATGAAAGTATTTTCTAATTTTGAAAGTTTCATTCGTAAAGGTGAGAGAAGTGGGTTCCACATGCGATGGCTTGGAAAATTATCTCTATTTTAGTTTTTTTTTCAGAAAGTAATAATAAAAATCACAAGATTAAAAAAATTTTGGATTTGAATATTATTTTTATTCATAGTGATAATTAAAAAAATTATTTAATAAGATGATGCGTAAAAATATTCTCATTGTAGCCCAGACAAAAACTACAACTAAATTTTCAAGGTGAGAGTTCATACCAAATAAGGAAACATCGTTGAAACTCGCATTAGGAACCCAGCTTTTACCACTAATGGCCTAAGGGTTGTTAATGCTTATTTTATTCTGTCTATAATGTCTTTTTATCTAACTTTTATCTTCCTGCATATGCTTGCCTCTGCAAAATTTTAATCTGCTGACTTTTAGAGGCATAGTAATTGTGTTGCTTGAATCTATTTTGGTTAGCCATTTATTATGCCATAATTAATATTTTGTATCATATTAATTGCCATAGTTACCTATGTCAAAAAGGTGAATGTTCCAACTGGCATCGTGGGTGGTTGCCGCCTTGATGTAGCATATGAACACTTCAAGGTAAGGTTGATATTCTGAACTACTTTTTGTTCTTAAGGACTTTTGATATATATATATATATATATATATATATATGATGCCCATCCATCCAGCTGTGGGGTTAGTGAACTTTTCAAATGCTAAATATTGCATTCCATTAATTTCATTGTATAATATTTAAATTGAGCATAAGAATAAATAGTTTTATATTAAATATGATTTTTTAAATTAAGTTCCATGTTCATCTAATTATGCAAGCACAGCCTGTGTGAGTTGAAAGTAATCTTGGTTGGGTTAACGTTTGGAAATGGCATTACTATGATTTACTAGCACTACACATTTATTAAATTTTTGAGAAGGATGTTGTCAGTATACTAACACAATTATTTTGCGTTTTTTGGATCTCTTTTGCAAACTAAGATTGCTATCCAAGGATATGACCTTTTTAATTATAGTAAATGGAAGATGAATTTTATCTTGGGTTTAAGCTTTTGTAAAAACAACTATTGTTAATTATTCTCTTTGATATCATTAACCTTTTTGTGGGTGATTGAGCTTATTCATTATATTGTATCTCCTGATGGAATGTAATAAATGTAGTACTTGTGAAGTAACAACTGAAAATTAATCTAATTGTTATTTAGATGTTATGCAAGAATAGAGTTTTATTTAGATAGCATATAATCATTTTATAATATTATGGATTACAGTGAGACTGTTGTTTTTAATTGAAATTCTTGGGGGGTGTTTGGTGGCGCACCATTAAAAAGATTTATCATCAAGATTTACTAAATCCAACCAAACATAAAATAGCGCAAGTTTCATGGATTTATGAAATTTCGGATTTAAGGTCCGAATGTTGCCTTTGATTCATGTTAAATTCGGATTTAATAAATCCAAAAATGAGGTGAATTTAATAAATCAAGATTTACTAAATCCTACTAGGTCTTGATGCGGGCGCGCTAAATCCGCACCTAGTTATGGGTGCTAAAACAACACCTGGTTCGGGGCGCTGAAACAACAACTGGTCCGGGGCTCTAAAACAACTCCAATTATGGCGCTAAAACAACACCCAGTTCGGGGTGTTGAATACCATGAGAGAAGCCGCGCGAAGACGGGAAGAAACGCGAAGCAGGAGTTGAATCAGGAACTATTGCGATCCGAAAAGGAAGCTACCGCACCCAGGAAGCTCTTCTTGCCTTTCTTTTGTGTGGGAGTTTTCCCTTTTATTTTTTTCTATTTTTTATAAATTGTTGTTTTTTATGTGTAAGAGTAATGTTTTTGGTTGCGTTTATTTTCTGATGACTATGTGGAACCCTTTTACTCTTTTTGGGTTGTATCTGATGAGGTGATGGTGCTCCACCCATATTATCTTTGATGTGGTGATTGTATTCTTCCCTTTTACCTTCCCCAAACTTTCTTATCCCCATTTCTAGCCACTGGCCTTCCCCCTTTGTCCCTCTCTGTCACCGCAATGCTGTCCAGCCAACCTTCTACCTCAACACTCACACACCTTCCCCCTTTATCCCTACCGCTGCCCTTATTGTTCCACGCCTTCGAGCACCCCCCCTCCCACCCGACCTCCGCCTTCTGTCGGTCACCTACGACCCTTCATAATTATTGTCCCTGTGATTCTACACCTTCTCCTCGTTGCCATCAACATTCTTTTGCTGCCTCCACACCTGCTAGCCATCCCGACACGCCTAGTCGGCCTCCACTATCCTTGGAAAACCTTGAGAGTTGTGGACTTGTGTCGTTTTATGTTTTGGTGTTGTTATTTTCCGTTTGTATCATGTTGTAACCCTATTTTAATATTAATGAATATTTTCTTTTGTGTTTTCCCTGTTTTTCCTACTAGTTTTGGTATTAGGTCTGTTTAGGGCAGTTGCAGCTTATTAAAAAGCTGTTGCACAGCAGCTGTGCCAGGAAACTATTTTGGAGAAGCTGACCGTCTGTTTTTTGTAGTTTAGCAGTAGCTTTGCTGCAGTTGTTTCTGAATAAATAAACTTTCTGCCCTGTAGTATAATGTTGTTTATAACATAACTAATCGCCCTAGCGCATTTCGTACTTGAAAAAAAATATTTTGGAATTGTTGCATATATATATTGGGAATCTGAAACATTGTTATCAACAAATCAAACACCCTCTTTCATCCATTTTTCAAATTCCCACTAAAAAATCAGTTTGTGTAAATGTAAAAAAACAACCATACATACATGCAACCAAAACATTGCAATATACAAATCAAGCACTCTCTTTCATCCATTTTTCAAATTCACACTCAAACATCAAAGCTATCAATATTTTGGAATTGAGGCAGATACATACATGTCATCTGAAACATTCTTATCAACAAATCAAACACCCTTTTTCATCCATTTTTCAAATTCCCACACAAAAAATCATTGCATGTAAATGTTAACAAACTACCATACATACATGGCAACCGAAACATTGCTATCAACAAATCAAGCACCCTCTTTCATCTGTTTCTCAAATTTTCACTCACAAAATCAGAGGTGAAAAATAAACGAACACAATGGTGAAAACACAAGAGTAAGAAAAAACCATTCCATCTAACATGGTAAGAAAAAACTATTCCAAACTCTTTCATCCATTTTTATCACAAACACAATGGTAAAAACACCATCCCAAATCACAAAATCATAGGAGGTAAACGAGAAAGCCACACATTTCAAAATCTGCATTATTCTAACCCTAAACCGCAAATGATAAAGCAACAAATTGCAATGAGATAACCGTTCCATTGAAAATGAGTACAGAAAATACATACAGAGCACAATAACCGAAAGAGACGCGAGAAAGGTGCGAGAGAGATGCCTAGGGCAAAAAAAAAAAAAACACAATCGTGAGAGGTGAGCGATCGAGAGAGGAACCTAGGGTGGAAGAAGCGCGAGGGAGCCATGGATGAAACAAGCGAAGGGTAGAAAGAACCTGTGGCCCGCGTTTAACATAGCTTATTAGAATAAGCACCCCGCCACTTTCCAAACAGGTGCATCTATGTTTTCAAACCGCACCACACCAAAAAGCCGCACCAAATGGGCCACAAAGCTAAATGCTTCCTGAAACCAAACACCCTCTGATACCGGAGCTAATCCAAACCACAACTAGACGACACAATTTTATTGTTGAATTCAAAGAAAATATTCAAAGAAAATACAGAAAATACAATGATGACTCTCAACATAGAGCAACACCAACATGCAAACTATCAAACGATAATGAAGACTCCTCTAACAAGAATAAAACAACATGAAATAAGAAATAAAATGGTAGAAAACACATAAATGGCTCTCAAGTGTAGGGCGGCAGGTCCGCTAGAAAGGAATGTGGTGCGTAAATGCCGGAGGGAACCATAACGGCGTAGGGTTGCTGGCAGGGTGCAAGGGAAGGTTGGCAGCGGCCAGTAGGCAGTTTGGACAGTGACCTAGAGGGTGGATAACGACTGGAAGATGATGACGGTAGTATGGACGGTAATCTGGAGGCTGGACAGCTCCCGAAAGATGATAACAACAGTCTGAACAACAACATGAACGGTGGACAACGACCGGAAGATGACGAGGGCAGTCTGGACAGCAACCTGAACGGTGGACAACGACCAGAAGATGACGAGGGTGACCTGGACAACAACCTGGAGGTTGGACAATGACTGAAAGATGATGAGGGCGATCTGGACAGCAACATGGAGAGTGGGCAGCACCTGGAAGGTGACGACAATGGGCTGTGGTGGGGAGTTGGAAGGATAAATATCTCGAACGGGACGGGGGAGGGGGGTGTCGAGCTAGTGCTGGAGCGCCATCCGGACCCTTAGAGATGGCACCATCGTAGATGAGCTACAGCTAGAGCACCTTCTCGCCGTCGGATACAACCCTTGGAAGGGAAGAATGCCTCGAAGACAACAAATTGAGATATGGAATAATAAAAAAATTGAACATTACCAACAATATATTTATAATAGGGATTAGTAAATAGAATGGGTAAGGATCAGAATACGTAAGAAATAGAAAAGGAAGGGCATATAATAGATAAGGATTAAAATAGGAGAATCATATAAAAGGAAAGGGGTAGTGCTAAAGTACCGCGACCCCCATAAGCTCCCATGTCCGCAGTACTGTAGTAGCTATAGTTTTGCAACCCAGTAAGCTCCTGCGTCACCCCCTTAGTCTGAGTTAGAAAAGGAGAGATATTGCAACTGTTAGGTGATAACAGAGAGCAGTTCCATGGATTAAGCGATCGAAAAAACCGGTCACCTTATTTTACACATGATGCTCTAATCCACTCCTTCCATTTATCAATCCTTAGATTTAATCTACCATTGCAGGGTATCTAATTTTGTTATGGAGAGTTATGGATTTTTCTTTTGGAATTTGTAACTATTTAAACTAGTTTTTGACCTCTGCTCCTTTTTTGATTGGCTGCTTAAAAGCATGAACATTGATCGAGCTATAATTTGAGCATTAAATCTTAAAGCACCAGGAATTCAGGATGCATCAGTAGATGTATGCTAAATATGTGTGTTGATAAATTGGTTGTTGTATGTTTTTTTTTAATGTAATAATTTTATCACTAGATCACTTTCCTTCTTTAATAGCTTGATTAGATGTGTAGATCATGTAGATTATTATGATAAAGGCTCTTAAGATGATGGATATCTTAACACAAATAGGTTTAACGTGCATATAAAGATCTATTTTAAAGTACCGTGTATTTATTACACTCATATTTAATTTAATCATTTTCATTTAGTATATATGAAGCTGAAACATTTCGGGTTCACATTTAATAATATAAGGAGAATCATGACATAAATCACAGGAAAGAAATCCATGAGCTCCATCGGAGTTTAGGTATAACTTATGAGTATTCACATATAGTGCCAGTGTCCAGGTTATCTTTCATATGCATTGTTTTGATGCTGAATTGTTTTATTTTCTACCGATTGTTTTTTTTGTAAACTATTACATTTCTTACTTGCTTTTAATTGAGCACAACTCTAAACTTAAAACTCTTACTATTTTTACAGGAGAAGCCTCACATGTTTCAATTTGTTCCAAATAAGGAGCAGGTAAGGGAAAATTTTCCATGGGTTAAGAACTTGCATGCAATAACCTGCAAAGATTTCTCCTTGTACAGGTTAAAGCAGCTAATAAATTACTGCGCACAATTCCAACAAAAGGGGAAAGAAGAAAAGTTAACGGAGTTCCTGTTTTTACAGCAGATAATTTGAACATTGCTATAGCAACAGCTGATGGTATCAAATGGTATGCATTTTTCTCATCTATAAACTATGATACTTTTCTTTCTAGCCACCAATTTGAGCATTTGCTGTGGTCTCAATTTCTTTTAATTGCTTTATTTAATATTATGAGACATTAAAATCTTAAGAGCTTGATATGATTTTATCCTTACAAAAGCTAAAGTTTACATTTGAAAAACACTATATGACACGTTTGTTCAACTATGATGGACCCGCTTTTCCTTGTGATTTCTTCTATGTAACTTTGCGAGCGTATTATAATTTTATTTTTTGCTATGTATCTTGCATTGAAGGTGAATGTTGTTCTGTGCTGTTTGCATTTAAGCCCCCACTACCCTTTTATAAATGAATGAGATGTTGCACATGGTCATGGAACCATGGAAGGATTGCCTGGTTTTGTGTCATGCTCCCATAACTAAAATTGTTGGTGAAAGGTTTTTGTAAAGCAATGATGGAACTGATTACGGATTCTTTAGTCACTGCTTCATGCTACTATACGTCCTGCTACTGGCCAACTTTGTTTTTGCTAATTGCTATCACCGGATGCTTAGTTAACTGCTAATGCTACAGTTACGGGAGCATGTTTGCTGCGTATTTTTCAGGCTAGAGTTACTCCTGAAAGCTCTATATCTCATGATTTGCTATGGTTAGCTGCCACTAATTGCTGGCCCCACAATCTGGAAGTTGATTTATTACAATGCTCTAGTTTTTTGTTCTTACATTGGTGCTACAACTCTTCTATTTTGTCAGGTCCTAAAGCAAATCGATAATTGAAGTTAATGGAATGTTTTCTGTTGGAATTCATGATTGATGCATTAAAACTTGCTTTTTGAGTGCATTTTAAGATATTTTGTGATTTTTTTTGGGTCTTGTGTAGGAAATAAAGAAAACCACTGGGCAAGGAAAAATTATTGGACATTTGGTGTTGAAAGAAAATTTTATGTATCCTCTATTTATGTTTGTGTGCTTTTTCGATGTATGTTTTTCTTTCCCCCATTTGCTTTTTTTAATATAATTTATTTTATGAAAATTATGAAAATTTATATGATGATTTTTACTATATATTTTTGTATGCTTTTAATAATAATAATAATAAATTATAAATTCTATAGAAAATTTTTGGCATTTTAGCTTTTTGGATTTATCATGAAAAGTCCATTTTGTGAAATGGGGGACAATTTAGTGCTTTTTATGCAAATGAGACATTTTGGATTGATTTTTCTAAAAAAGTACGCCTATAGTGGCTCTCAAACATCTAAAAGATTCTCCATTTTGGCCTCTCAATAGTCCTTATTATAAAATGTGACAACAAAAATTTAGTCCTTTTATTTCAACAAAAAAAAAAAAAAATAAACGTTAGCAACTGTTGAACTAACTGAAAAAAAAAAAAAAAATGAACGTTAGCCACTGTGGAACTAACTGAAGGTTTAAACATATTTAGAACTATCCATGTAATACCATAAAATGGAATTGGAGCCTTGTTAAAGGTGTTTTAAAATTAGACGAATTTGTGAATCTCAACATTTAAAACCTCAAGGGCCTATATTCATTTTCGATTTAATTAATTATCCTTTATAGCCTTGCACTTGCCTGCCTTGATGATAATATCATGAACACAGAACTCATGCACATTACAAAAATTGTATATATACAAGCCCAAAATAGACATTAGTACATATACGTCTATTAAATTGATGGGACCATTTACTTCAGTCATTTGATAATGCCCACTGATTTCTTTTTTTACGAGAGAATGTTTTTCTTTTCTTTTCGTACCTATATATTTTTATAAATTTGATGTTTTAGTTTCATGCTCTCAGGTATACACCATACTTTTTTGATAAGAACTTACTGGATAACATTCTGGAAGCATCAATCGATCAGCATTTCCACACATTAATTCACAACCGTCATATGCAACGGAGGCGGGACATTGTAGATGATGGCCTCACTGCAGAAGTCGAGGAAAATATTGATAGCTTATTTGAGCCTCATGAGGTAATTTTCTAGGAGGCCTGTATTGTGGGTGTCTTTAGACATTATTGAAACAGACCAACTGCGTCCTTCTCTGCAATTTTGTTATTATCGAGGGACTTGCATTTTCTGGCTTAATTTCAGTGTTAATGTCAGGATTTTTATGCTTGTTTGCATATTTTCGTTTCAGGTTCAAGAATTTTTGGATGAGATGGGTCATCCTGGAGTACCTATTAGTGTTATATCAAAGGCTGCAGAGATCCAACTCCTTGATGTTGTTGATAAAGCACTACTAGGAAATAAGTGGTTGAGGAAAGCCACTGGTATTCAGCCAAAGCTTCCTTATCTAGTCGATTCTTTTGAAGAGAGGTATCTCTGTCAACTTTTTGATGATTTGAAAATAATTTTGCAAATTTAATTTAATATAAGAGGTATATAGTTTGAGTTTTGAAAGTAGTATGCTTTAATTTTTGAAAAATGAGACCAAATGGATCTCATATGTCTAATAGTTTACATAATTGTGTCCGATACCGCGAATACTACACCCTCCCGAAAGATAAGTGTATACCTCGGCAATAGACTCAATCCTGCAAACTAAGAGATTTATGACATTCGTTTGATCTGTGAACCTTTTATGTGTGACCGACAAGTTTCCCTATATAATACAAAGATTAAATAGAGTTTATTTTATCTGGGTTTCAAGTTCCCTATAAGGCAAACCCCTATAGTTAATTACATCTCAAATGACTGAGGTCACTTGAGAAAACTCTCGATAATGATCAGAGATACTAGTATTCAAGAATTTAAAGTTTAGATTTTCACAGTAGGACGTGGAAAGACAAATGAAAGTGATTCAAATAGGAACAAATATTTTCAAGAGCCAAAGGAACGAAAGGTAGTGGATGTCACAGATTCTAAGAAGAAACCTCAGTGACTTCCCAAACTATCATAATTTACGGCTGAGTTTTGGAGACGATGTTATTTAGGTGTTTAATCCTGTCAATTTTATTATTTAAGACTTATATTTGCATAATATCCGATTATGCAAATAACCCTCAGAGATTAGAGGTTTTACGTATTTTTGGACGACAACCTCGAAATCAAAGGCGAGTTAGGACTTATACTGCTCAATATGACTGTGCAGGAGCCTAAAAGAGGATGAGGATTTACATCGCGTTGGACGAGCTACCTTGAAATCCTATATGTTGTTTAGACTAGGAAAGTTTAGCTGGTGTAGACTTGTTTTGCTGTTGTAGGATGACGACCACCTCTACTTGTAGACCGCTCCAAGCTCCTTGTCGCACTGCCCACGAAGTTGCTTCAAGCTCCTCATCAAAGTAACAGTCTTAAAGTCTAAGGTTCAAAAGATTTTACCAGGTGTGTTTCCAATTCTTGGTTTTGTTGTCATTCAAACATTATGGGGGGTTAAAGTGGTTAGAGCGACACCGGTTAGGATCCCACGGTTCTCTCGTTCCGGTACCACAATTTTCTTTTAAACTTAATTAGCTTAAACGAGTTGTGAAACCCATATAAATTGAGGAGATCTCGTTAGCAACCGTGAGTTACCTCCTCCGAGGGACTCCCGTAAATTCAAAGGTACGTGTTATGTTTTTTTGTTATTGTTTTTGTTTTGAAAATGTTGTTTAATTTTTGAAAATTCGTTTTGTTTTAAAAATGTTGTTGAATTTTTGAGAAATAGTTTTTTTTCTTAGAGGTCTCACCGGCGTGAAGTTTGATGCCGTCCCTTTCGTCTGTTCTAGGAGTAACCCCACGATCATTTAACGCTTCAACCACGTCTGAATTTACCTCGCAAAGGCACACCGAGAGGTTGGTATGAGAATTCCGTTCAACAAAAGATTACACATATAAATGTGCCGACGTGCGTATGTCAATAGTTAAGTGTATTGAATATGTATGTCACTCAATTCCAATATATTCACATATCTAGCATTTAAGCCCAATTTTACTTACCACATTACTAGCGTTCAAAAAGAATATAAAGTGAAATGTTACCCATGACATGAGAAATTTGGGTATACTTGTCCTCAATTCTTGCATATTTACTAACTTATCCATATACAATGTATTGTGAGACTTGGATCGACACCCTAAAGATTCCAGCCCGTGCATTTCATGTATCCAAAAGCCATTCTCAGCTACACTTTAAGAATAATAAGGAAATCAGCATACCTCCAAGATCTTAATTCATTCATCATTTTCATCCTTTTTATTGGAAGTTAACTTCTGTAAACTTACAAAGACAACAGCTAAATCGGCCCACTAAAAGAGCTTAATGCTCATAAAATTTCAGATTTTGCATAAAGCCAAATCAAATGAATTTCAGATTTGTATCAAAGATAAGGTTACCAAAAGAAATGTCCACAAGTCTTTGCATCCCTACCATCCAACTCTTCATATATTTTAGCATATCTAGCACCTAAGCTTTACATGTTATTAACATCTAAATCTCTTATGGCATACCAAAAGGATAATCTGAGTAGGATATATATGCAAATATAAATCCAGCCATTCACATGTCGTTTATCTTCAATAACCTCACAGATTTTGACATTCTAAATAGGTTAATTGAGCATCCAAGAATACAGTGAAATTGCAGGAGCTACACAAATTGCAAGTTTCTTTTGTTCATACGTGATTAAAGTCTTTACTTCTGTCAGATTACTAGATTCCCCTCAAATTAAAAGCTTAATTGGTTTTAAATTATGTAGTAGAATAGGCACACATAAATACCAGCAGGGAATATAAATAGGTGACACATATATAAAAAAAAATTGAAGTTTCCTTGTTAGACAAGTCAATACAGAGGAATTGAGTGACATGTGTGTTGATAAATGTACACAAAATTGAGTGGTATATTTGTAACTTAATACACAAAAAATTGGGTTGTATATTTTTGTACAGAAAATTAAATGTTATATTTGTAACTCAAGTTGTATGCGTGCAAATAAATATAGAATTGGGTGATATGTATGTAAATTTTTCTTGTATGCAGCAAAGAAGAAGAGAAAGAGGAGGAGGTATACCTGGTCGAAGTGTCGCCTGGGGGAAGGAGTCCACCGGAGGAAGTTCACAGGAGGAAGTTCACCGGAGGGAGGGAGGCTCGCCGGAGAAGGAGAGGAAGGGGAAGTTGGATTGGGTTCGGTTGATGAGGTGTGGAGAGTTGGCTGGTTGTCTTGTTTTTTTTTTTATTTTACTTTTTTGGCAGAGGAAGAAGGAGACCAGTGGGTTTCTGTCGAGAGAAAAGGGAGGCGGGGTCGAACGGCTAGTTCTTCGATCGAGAGAAGGGGAGGTGAGGCTTTCGATGGAGTGAAGAGGCGAGCCGAGAAAGGAGGAAGCGAAGCAGGCGAACATGGGTTTCGGTGTCGAGCGGGAGTGAATGCAGCGACGAGGTGAGCAGGTCAAGAAGAAGGGGGCGAGGCAAGCGTGAGAGCTTTGGGTCTGTGCAGGAGAAACGATGGGATTTCGGTGTAGAGGAGGAGGAAGGAGAATAGACAAGCGGGAGAAGAAGAGGGGGGCCGAATGATCAGTACTTGTGGAGGAGAGGCGAGCAATTTTGTATATCACAATTCCGCTCCAAATTGACCGTTATACAACGATGGGCAGGTAATTGATGAATTCCATTAGCAGAGGAGTTTATTTGACATATAACAACTCCTCATTAAATTGCATTAAAGCTGGATTAAATGATTTATTTGAAATTTAAAATTTAAAATTATTCATCCCTTGTTCAGCCTGAGTCTAGCCCGAATCGAATCCGAGTTAAACCTGGGTTGCGTCGTGCTAACGTGCATCAATTTTCGTGTTATTTTTGCAAGTGCGTAACCATAACAATGTGGGTGTTCTTTCTAGCTAAAGTTGAAGTCCCGGACACATCCACGTGGTATGTTTCGTCATCCAGGGTCGTCCAGATAAGTTTGCCAACAGTCGGGCCAAACCACGTGGTATGTTTCGTCATCCAGGGTCGTCCAGACAAGTTTGCCAACAGTCGAGCCAAAAAAAAAATGTCAACTTCGTGCGTGGTGTAGCGAGTGCGTGAATTGCAGCGTTCGCGAGCTTTCGAGTCATGGAGGGTTCATCTATGGTCGTTTGATCCTATGGGAACTTATTTTCGGACCCTCTACATATTAATCCTTAACCCTTGCAACTAAGAGTCGAGTGTCTGGGACTACTCATGCGAGGTCTGCACAAAAATGAGTCAAGATGTGGCTCGAAGTTCTATGGGAGGTGGGCTCCATTGCTGGTCTGGTAGGATGGTCAATTAAAAACTCCTAAAGCTAAATCCTGGGTTCTAGGAGTAGGAGACTAAGACCTCACTAAAAATAAGGTCAATAAGGTATGGTATCTACAATCATTATGCTTTTTGTTCATTCTATTAAAAAGACTGCTACTTTATATTTTTTTCTTTCATTTCATTGGTTTCCATTGTAAAAGAGAATCCCTCTTTTCCCATCAAAGTAGGATCTTTGCTCAATGTGATGCAAGCATTGTCCCTCAAGAAATACGTTCCTTAATCATTTTATAATTGGGGCACTTACATGCAGATCACCAGAAACTTTTGCTATTTACAAATAGACTATTTTCTTCATCTATTTTTCAAATTCTCATTCAAATATCAAAATATATGGTAAAACCCCAACCCATATTTTTTATTTTTATCAAATTCTCAATAAGTTGACCGTGACACTTAGAAATTCACCGCTTCGGTAGTTCAAAAAAATCTCATGGTTGGTTAATTTGAAAATAGTAATGTTTTGGGTGGTCTGTACCTAATTATTTCTTTATAATTTTCTACATTTTTGCTCAAAAATGGGCATTGCATTGGTTTTTTTTTTTTTTGGCTTTTCAATAGAACATGACGGCATCCCAATAGAAGTGTGGAAACATTTAGGATATTTATGAATTTCTTGGCTTACCGAAAATTTTAGTATTATTTTAATAATTAAAATAATGCTTGAGGAGTTGAGGAAGAGTATTTTGGTCCCTAGTTTTTTCTTAAAAAAAGGTGATGCACAAGGGTGCAAATTATAGATGAATTATGTTAATGTGTCATAAATTAAAATTATGGGATAGAGTAATTAAACAAGGGTTGAGACATGAGATAAATGTTTCTCAAAATTAGTTTAGATTTATGCTAGGCAAGTCTACCATGGAAGATATACATTTATCAAGAGGTTTAATGGAAAAGTACAAATAACACAAAGAGGATCTACATATTAGAAAAAAACTTATGATAATGTACTACAAGAAATGCTTTGGAGTCTTAGAAAAGAAAGGTGTTGATATGACTTATATTCAAGTCATTAAAGATATGTATAATACAGTTATTGCTTGTGTTTGAATAGGAGGAT